TTGCTATTAGCTTGGAGGCTATCGCTATTAGATTGGAGGCCATCGCTATTGGATTGGAGGCCATTGCAATTGTGTTGGAGGCAACCTGAGGCCATTGCTATCAGGTTGGAGGCCATTGCTATTAGCTTGGAGGTTATCGCTATTAGATTGGAGGCCATTGCTATTGGGTTGGAGGCCATCGCTATTAGATTGGAGGCCACTGCTATTAGCTTGGAGGCTATCGCTATTACGTTGAAGGCCATTGCTATCAGGTTGGAGGCCATTGCTATTAGGTTGGAGGCTATCGCTATTAGATTGGAGGCAAATGCTATTGGGATTTCCTTCTTCTTTGGGTGGTTCTTTTTGGGACCCCAGGGCCTGCCAGACTCCAGAGAGCTCATCGGCTCATCGAGTTGGTTTTCGATTTTTTCTTCTTCCACACCGTTCGCTGAAACTTTGCTAAAACTCGGGGCTTTTTGGAGGTGCACCTATCCTCCTTCCGCCGTGGTGCCAATGGGGAGTTGATGAACTACCGGGATATGGCGAAGCAGCTTGTGGAACACGTCAAGGTTGGTGACCGAGTTGGCTGATGAGTAGAAGGCTTTCGTAAGAGATCGTAAGAGTACATGGGATTGCTGGGAGAAGGTTCAAATTTGTTGCTGGGAGGATGATTCTGAAGGTGATTCTGAAAATCAATGACTCCCTGTTCAGTCTGATCTCAAGATCACACGTTGACCATATTTGACCGATTCTGCAAAACATTGATGACGATGTCTTGATCCACTGCTGAGATCGAAATGTGCCAGGCGCTGAACTTTAACTGGGTGGAGCTGATGGCTTTGGCGCATCATCCTTTTCAAGGCATTGCATTTTTCTTTTGGTTTTTCTTTTTCCTTGTACCTATTAGATTTTACATGTCAGTCCTTGATAAGCAAGTCCACACCAAGAAAGAGGGCATTTGGCAGCCGACTGGTCAGGAAGTGTGTTCCTTTGGTTCATGGTGGTGTAACAAAACACGAGGGCCTCTTCTTTGCCAGCCTAGGTCGAGATGGTTACCATCTATTACATTGGAATTGAACCAATGCCACCTCAAAGGATCAAATGCGACGGTTTTCAAGCCGGTCTTGAAACCACAGTGTGGGCCCAATCCTTGGGCCCATAGGTTCAATGTTATCATCTTCAGCTTCGTCCACCCGGGTGCACGCCAGAGGATCGGGCCCGAAATCGTTCGCGCCGCAACGCGTGACGCCGAACGCGAGGCTCTTGGGGCTACCAGGTGAGCGGGTACCTTGGCATGAGAGAGGAGTGAGGAGTGGAACTGAGACATGGGAGACATAGACCCTGAAGTCAGAAAGACATGTGCCGTAGTTGTGCAGTAGGTAGGCCAGGTTTCAAAGGTCTTCTCCGAACGCGCACGTTTAGAGACTTCAAGAACGCGCGCCGTTGGTCCAGAAAAAGGAAGGTGCCTTTACCCCCGCAGGAAGCACAGCTACTGATCCCACAGGTACTACAGTTGCTACTCGCTCTTGGGATCGCCCGATGACCTGAAGTACCTCATCAATCAGCTCCACGAGGCGCCAAACCGATCGCCCGATCGAAAGGTCCTTCATCAATCCGGGTGAGCTTTACGGCCCCATGGACCATGTAAGAGGTGGTGACCAGGATGGACATTTTGAAGTGAACCCGACACGAAAGCCCTTTTTTGGGGTAGTTGAAGCATGCGCCTTCTGAAAGTTGTGCCGACTCAAACAAATAAGAAACTAGCGACATGTGGGTGTTCTGAACCATAGAGGACCCCCAGTGTCAGAGGCGAAGACGTCTCTCCGTTCGATCTCCGAGCTGAACATGCAACGATGAGGCCAAGATCGGTGTGATCATGGACTTCGTACCGGCGCACTTCTGCAAGGACGCCTGCAGCTTTGGCGATTTCGATGGCACCGCCACCTTCGAGTACGAGGCTGGAAGTGGGAGGGAGTGGGGCCTCCAACCTACTTGCGCTGGCCTCCAACCTAAGAGCGATAGGGGGCGGATAGGATGATGGAGGGTGGGCTGGTGCTCAGAGCTGCAGCCTGCGTGGTACGTCGGTGTCGCCCGCAGGACCCCCGTGAAGGCGAACAAAGGCAGCGGGGAAGTGGGGCGGACACAGGTGCCAGTTGGGTAGGTGGGGCTGGAGGAGAAACCGGCGGCGAAGTGGACGACGGGCTTGGTTTTGGTGCCTTAAAAAGCCAGGGTTGTAGAAGATCAGTTCTTTCAAACGTGCCAAGAGCTCAAAAACAGCCATGCTGGCGTGTGAAAGAACACCGAGTCGACTCAGAGTTAGCGACATTGAACTGAAAGCGCGTGTAATTATGGCGTGGCCAGGCAATGGGGCACCAAGGCGACGAGCGGGGGCGGTGGATGGTGGAAGCGAAGGGAATGAGCTCCGTTTGGAAGACCTTGGGCTCCGTTTGGGGCCTTGTAGCTCTATTCCCAGATGGTTTTGTTTGAGTGCGGGTGTGTCTCATAGAGCCAAATTGTGGGAAGACCTTTCAAAAGAAACTGCGGTACATGCCATAAGGTCTGAACAAGGTCTGCCATGACTTTTGGAAACACCTCCAGAAAGAATCACGATGATTTCTGTACGAATTGATCAACTTGGTCTTTCGCCAGGCGCGGGATCCTACCGCCCTTTTCTTTCGGAGAGTCTTCAGTGACCACCGCCCACCTGTTTGGCGTATCACCAGCGGCGCATGACTCAAAGCACCGTCCTTTTGGTGTCTACGACTTGCTGATGGAAGGAATCAATGGTTCAACATGAACCAAGCATGCTGCCTTCAGCCACACTTCGGCCACCCTTCCTGTGTTCTTTTCTTGACCTTCTCTCATCCCATCCACGCGCTTCACGGCCACGTGGTCCTCTCCAGGCCCCACAAGGAACGGCTTGGCCCCCGGCTGTGCAGGTCTTCAACTTCCGCCGGAACGAGGTCAGGAGCTTCCTCCTGGGAGCGGCGCTGTTTTGGGCCGACAGCGCCTGGGTGAAGCGTTGGAGTTGAGGGCGGCGGTGGGCTGTGGGGATGGCGCCATGCGTGGCTCCTTGTTGCAGAATTGTGTATAATCATACAAGGGAGGGTTAGTGTTCTCTGTTGTTTCATCAATCTTTTTGGGGGGCCGAGGCTTGAGGCGGTACGATTCGGTGTAAGCTTTCTTGTTCATGGAGTGATTCTCTGTGCATTCGATCTATTTCGGGGAACCACTCCTACTGTTGATGGACAAAATCCTGCACCACTTTGCGCACGCTTTTCTTGCTGCCCTCGTTCTCCCTCGTTAACATTGGGGCCACCACAGTGAGAAAACAAAAACAAGTTGAAGGTCCAAAATCCTGCACCACCTCCTCAGAGGGGTCGCGCCAACATTGAATGAGGGGGCGCGGGGGTTGCTATGCGGATGTCGTGCTGGCTTGGAAGCTCCTGAAATCAGATGCAAAGGAATTGGATGTGTTGGGTTGTTTGGTATCATCGTGCAGGCACACTAACATCCACCACTCACTCTTGTCAATTTTCTTGCAACCCAATGCTTGAAGGTTGCATGGTTTATCGTGCGAATTCCTGCGATATGATATGCACTAATTTGGACTTTGCACCAGACCTGCTGATTGGCCTGAATTGAAAGCTTCGTTTGCACTCCCTGGACTGCGTGCAGCACGGACCTTTCTTGCGCCTGAGGATACCATATCGATGGATTTCGCTGTGATGCGGTCTCCTCCATGCGCCTTGGTTGAAAACAGATCAGATCACCAGATCGTAGGCGTGGCAAGCATGGGTTAAGAGATGTTAAGTGTTAAGAGAGTCGTTGGAAATATTCGCGGTCTCGGTGTGTGGGTGATATGATGAGTGGAAAAGAACATGTGTTCAGCAGTCTTCACTCACCACCAAGATGCTAAAAAGCAGCCCCCCGCCCACCCCGAAACGACCCCCCTTCCCACAACCGGAGCTTGGCACGCCTGTTTGGGCCGCCCGTGCCTGTGCTGCCCGTCTGTAGGATCTACCGGAACTTCGGGAAGTCGGAGGGCGAGTGGATCCGCAACGAGCACGGGGGCGACAGCAACCTGGAGGCGGTGTCCTTACTCCGGGAGCTCAACAACTCCATGAAGGCCGGGATCCGGAGGGGAGGAAGGGCGGAAGGCTGATGGATGGGAGAAGGTGAAAAACGGATGGAACATGTGTGACCCCCAGGGGCGGAAGAACCTGATATTGCTTTGAAGCCAGGGAAGTGGTCCCAGCCTTTGCCATATCGCCGCACTACGCGCCTGTGCCTCACGAGTATGCCGGCCCCCCCACACAACCCGCCTTGCCGCACCGGCCAGCGAGGAGTTTTGGCCTGGTGTGATCATGATCGCTGAAGAGTCGACCGCCTGGGAAGGTGTCACTTCTTTGAGGCACGGCAGAACAGAACAGTGGATCGGCCAAAGAAGGGGTTTTCGGTTTTCGGGTGGTGTTGAAGTGGTCTGCTATTTTTTTTCCTTTGGCTGCTGGAAGCTGATGGGCCATGACGAAACCTTTGCCAGCTTCGAGTGACGAAGTTGTACATGAGTCTTAGGGACACATAATCGAGTACTTTCTCCTATTTGCGCCCCTGCCTCTGCTGATGTTCCGCAAGACACAGGGAATTCTTTTTCGGATTGGAAGGTTCTTTCCCTGCTCGTGTTGGACCGCCTGCCGTCCAGGCCAGCAAGCTCGTCGCTGGGCTTTGACCTGAAGTGGGACTTGGGTTGGATGAATGACACTCTCATCTATCTTGAGGACAGGAGAAAATTGGGCTAGCATAGCTGTTGCGCTTTGGTTCCAACGTTGTCGTCAAGGGCCCGTGGAAGGCTCTTGTATCTTCAGCTTTGCTAGCTTCTGGGTGAACTTGACCATCCCAGACACAGTGATCCACATTGGGGATGGTGCCTTCAAGAGTCACAACTCGTTAGTAACCTTGACCATCTCAGACTCAGTGGCAGTGACCCACATTTGGGATTCTGCTTTTGACAATTGCAGGTCTTTGCTTTCCATGTTTTTGGACTAAAGATTGTCTAGAGTCTGGAGCCAGTGGTATGGTAGGCTCTTGTTTGGTGATACGTTTGCCCGATGCTTGGCGTGTTTGGTTTCTATGGTCCGGCTTTTGTAAACTGCGTGTGAACTGTCTGGTCAGCTTTGCTCAGATCTGCTAGCTAGCTTCAGAATATCGCCTTCGAAGCCATGGGCACAGCATGCAGCTGCGATAGACATCCTCGGTGTGGGGTGTGTGGTCATTGCTCGATTCGATGCCAAGATTGTGGGTACAGAACTCAAAATGCATGCACAAGCTGTCTTGAGGCAGAGGCCCGCCAAGCTCGTGAAGCAGAACGCCGAGTTCGTGAGGAAGCAGAACACCGAGTTCGTGAGGAGGCAAGACGCCGTGAAGCAGAACGCAAAGAAAGGGCCCGCCAAGCTCGTGCAGAAGAACTGGCCCGCCAAGCTCGTCGTGAGGCAAGAATTGAAGGAATGGAAAGGGTCCGCCAAGCTTGTGAGGCAGAACGCCGAGTTCGTGAGGAGGCGGAACACCAAGTTCGTGAGGAGGCAAGACGCCGTGAAGCAGAACGCAAAGAAAGGGCCCGCCAAGTCCATAAGGCTGTGAGCACGTTCACACAAGAAGGTTTGGCCCATGTTTCCAAAGACCTTACAGTGGATTCAGCACTTCAGAAGGTGAAATCTGAAAGCTGGACAAAAGTGGATGCGGGCGTCAGCGTGGGGCCCTATGTTCTGCAGTCTGTGTCAAAGATTTGGTTTGACGACCCCAAAGAGCCAAAGACAATGTCAGTTGGACTGGGATTCCCAGCAATGCAGCATTTCAAGTTGGAGGTCTTTGATTTTGGCTCCAAGTACATCGCCAAGTTGATCAAGGACATGAAAATCGGCGACCAAGTGAAATGCATCGAATGGATTGCAGAGGCTGGTGATTCGGAGACGAAGTGCAAGGTTGCGCCAGGAAGTGATTACTTTGATATTGACCCTGACATGCGGCAGTCCATCAAGTGGCAGCGTGTCAAATGCCACATCCATGTCCAGAACCAGGACGGCCACATCGACCGCATCGAGGTTGTTTTTGAGGCAGGAAGCATACAGACATTCCTGGCAGTTATTGGTGGAGTCCTAGTTGGCGCAGCGGTTGTCTGGTTGTTCAGTGCCGCTGCCGGTGCCGGTGCCACCGTCGGTTCTGGAGTTGGCTTCACAACGAATATGAGTATTACCATTTGTGCAGTTCAATAGCAAAGTGCTGGGATCGCGCAGTAGTTCCGTAGCATGTTTGGCCTGGACCCTTGGTTCCTGATGTTCAGGAGAAGCTACTTCCCGCAGCGCGAGTATGTGCTTCCCGCATCTAAATTCTAGAATCTAGAAGGTCTCATACTGCAGCTGAAACCATTTTTACCCACCTGTCAGGTGAGGGTTGTTAGATTTTTCATCAGCCCCATCTCCTCCGCCTCCTCCTCGTCCTCCGCCTCGTCCTCCGCCTCTGCCTCCTCCTCCGCCTCCTCCGCCAGACCTCAACCACGACCATCCACGCCCAGTACGTGTTCCCTGCCGAACCTCAACCGCGAGCTCCAGACCCAAGTGTTCCCCACCGGACCTCAACCACGACCATCCACGCGCAGTGTTCTGTGCCGGACCTCAACCACAGCGCGCAACCGCGACCACAATCACAAACACACAACCACAAGCACACAACCGCAAACACACAACCACAAACACACAACCACAAACACACGACCACAAGCACGCCACCACAAACACACAACCGCAAACACACAACCGCAAACGCGCAACCACAAACACGCAACCACAAACAC